TCGAGATTTGGGTATGGAACGAGAAGGACAACGAATGGTCTCTCCATTCTACATACGATGTACCTCCTCTTGATGATGATGATGATGCTTTTGTTGACAGAATATTGGGCCTCTACAAGAATGATAAAGCTCTGCTTCAGGACTCCAAGGATTCCCTATTGCTTTACGATTGTCATACCAAGGTGTTGAAGGATCTTGGTGTAGGGAACTTTATTGGGAAATAAAAAATAGGATGGCTAAAATAAAAAATACCGAGGCCTGTGAGAACACAGTGTCCTTAAAACAGATTCGCCCCGTATGAGCGTCTGTTTCCCAGGATACAACAGAAAAACCGAAACAAATTCGGCGAACTAGAATTAAGCCTGGACCAAAACACTATAAAAACAAATGGGGAATATTGGATTTTCTTTTCTTCTTTCTTCCTCTCGTGTATCATTCTCCTCAAAGAAGACCACCCTATTTATAATACTAAGATAATGTAACTAAGACATTTAATTCAACATTAATAATCTTAAGTTAAAGATAGTTTCAACTTTAATACAACCAAGTTACAAGTTTTGGAAGTAAAGTTCAAGACACGGTTTCAAAAACAATTCCTCAGTTACAATTTCATTCAATATTATCCAACAATCCCCCACATGAATGAAATTATAAATACGTGTTATGGTCCAACAGTTGAATCCTGCATAGGATAGGTAGGTGTTACCCTTTGAACCTTCCCTTATGAAAGCATATTAACTTTACTAGCTGACCAGTAGACGCGATGTCTTTGAACTGTTCTGCCTTTTGTGTAAATGATAAATATACTTCACACAGGATTCTCCCTAACATATTCCAGTTCTCATTTTTATGTCCATTACTGGCCTTGGACATAGCCTGGTTCTGTAAGAGGGTCTAAGAATTGAGCCTCACACAATTCTCTTCGAAGCGGCCCCACTTCTCTCTCACATAGGTGATTCTTAATTACAAGTAGCCCGTACTACCTTCCCATGCACGAATCATTAAAAGCCAAATGCTTATCCTACTCACCACGGGCATCACTGTTTAAGGAATTGACAATGGATAATATCACACAGTGAACACAAGAGTCTTTTTACAATTAGGTTGTCCCTTTGAACCAAGATCTTGGGATCTCCAGTCAACAAGGTAGGGTTTCCATTGTATCAACTCATTTCTAGAGGCTTAAGTCCCATTCCTCTCAAAGATTTAGCAACCAACTCTCTATTTAACCCTTTGGTTAGCGGATCCGCAAGATTATCTTTTGACTTCACATAGTCAATAGATATCGTACCAGTTGAGAGTAGTTGTCTAATGGTATTATGTCTTCGACGGATATGTCTAGACTTACCATTATACATATTACTTTGAATTGCCTCTTTCCAAAGAGGTCCTTCAGAAGAATTTACTGCTTCTGAAAACGTTTGTGGTTCGCTTTCAACCATATAGGTTAGAAAATCTGGACCAAAAGATTTTTCTATCCTGCCTCTTTTGCTTTTCCGAGGTTCTACCTCAGTATATCCATCTTGATCTTTTTCCATTATTTCCAAATTTCTTTTAGTGGAACTAGAATCCACTTCAGACTTACGTGGAAATATATGCTCAAAAAATGAAGCATTTCTAGATTCAAGTATCGTGTTCTTATGAATTTCCTCAATTTTGGATTCATGTACGAGAAAACGATAAGCACTACTGTTGTGTGCATATCCAATAAATATGCAATCAACCGTTTTTGGTCCAATCTTTATTTTCTTTGGCGTAGGTATTGCTACCTTTGCCAGACACCCCCACACTCGCAAGTATTTGTAGGATGGTGGTCTTCCATGCCATAATTCATATGGACTTTTGTCTAACTTTTTACGGGGAACCTTATTTAAAAGGTAATTTGCTGACAATACAGCTTCCCCCCACATGTTCTGTGAAAGTCCAGAACTTAACAACATTGAGTTCATCATTTCTTTTAAAGTACGATTTTTTCTTTCCGCAATCCCATTTTGTTGCGGTGAATAAGGTGCTGTCATTTCATGTCTTATCCCATGTTGGGCACATAATTCAGCAAAAGGTGACTCATATTCACCTCCTCTGTCACTTCTTATCACCTTAATCTTTTTATTTAGTTGATTTTCAACTTCATTTTTATAGAGAATAAATTTCTCTATCGCTTCATCTTTACTTTTGAGAAGATACACATAACAAAATTTAGTGCTATCATCTACAAAAGTAATGAAATATTTATTTCCACCACGTGTCGTGACAGCTTTTAAATCACATACATCAGTGTGAATTAAATCAAGTGGTTCACTATTTCTTTCAATAGTTTGAAATGGTAATCGTGTCAATTTTGCTTCAACACAAGTTTCACACTTATGTTTTGAATCAATATGGAACATAGGTATGCTTTTCAATTTTATTAACCTGCGCAGGGTATTATAATTGACATGTCCCAGTCTACCATGCCACACAATGGAAGACTCAAGCATATAAACAGAAGGATTAACATTTTTATTAATTGTCATCACATTGAGCTTAAAAAGCCCATTACATTCATAACCCTTCCCTACAAATGCTCCATTTTTGGTCAAAATGACCTTATCAGATTCAAACACTACACGAAAACCATGTTTAATCAATAAAGAACCAGACACTAAGTTCTTACGAATTTCTGGTACATAAAGTACATTATTAAGAGTCAATTCTTTTGCAGATGTCATCTTCAGTACCACTTTTCCCACTCCTTTGATGTCTGACGTGGCAGAATTTCCCATGAAGAGTTTTTCTCCATCCACCTTCTCGTCAAGGACATTAAACAAATCCTTGTTTGAGCAAACATGACGGGTAGCACCCGTGTCAATCCACCATTCATGTGGATTTGAGCCCACCAGATTCACCTCGGATATAACTGCAACGAGGTGCATCTCATCAACATCTTTGGCCAGGTTTTCCACCATGTGGGCTTCTTGATTTTTCTTTGGTAACCTGCAATCAGATGCCTTATGACCAGGTTTATTACAATTATAACAATTTCCAGAAAATTTTTTCTTGAAAATTTGTTTATTTGGCCCCATTATTGCCTTGCCAGTATTGCCATATTTTTTCTTGTTATTTTTACGTGAGCTTTCACCATGCTCAACAACATTGGCCTTGGCAAAAGAAGGATTAACCAATTTATTATCGTAGCCCTTGTTGTCTTCTTCAATTCGAAGCCTAACAACGAGCTCTTCAACAGTCATATCTTTTTTCTTATGTAATAAATAATTTTTAAAATCTTTCCAACTCGGTGGAAGCTTTGCAATTATGGCAGCCACCTGGAAAGTTTCATTTACCACCATTCCCTCGGAATGGATATCATGCAAGATTATTTGAAGCTCTTGCACTTGACTGATTACAGTCTTCGAGTCAATCATCTTGTAGTCCAGAAATCGGCCTACAAGAAATTTCTTGGCTCCAGCGTCTTCGGTTTTATATTTTTTATCCAAAGACTCCCACAGCTCCTTTGCTGTTTTGATAGAACTGTACACGTTGTACAGTGTATCAACCAAGCAATTCATCACATAATTTCTACATAAGAAATCTGAGTGATTCCATGCTTCAAGCGCACTAACCGCTTGATTATCCGGATTTTCCCCCAACTTTGGAGGATTTTCCGTCAAGAACCTCGCAAGGTTTAACGTAGTGAGATAAAACAGCATCTTTTGCTGCCAACGCTTGAAATTCAAGCCGTTAAATTTTTCCGGTTTATCGGCATGATTTACCGGAACATTAACAGAAGGAGAAATAGAAATTGTAGTAGCTCCACCAGTATTAGCAACGCCAATAGTATTTTGTTCAGCAGCCATCTTTAATCAGAATCTGTTTTAAGATTGTAGGGAACTTTATCGGGAAATAAAAAATAGGATGGCTAAAATAAAAAATACCGAGGCCTGTGAGAACACAGTGTCCTTAAAACAGATTCGCCCCGTATGAGCGTCTGTTTCCCAGGATACAACAGAAAAACCGAAACAAATTCGGCGAACTAGAATTAAGCCTGGACCAAAACACTATAAAAACAAATGGGGAATATTGGATTTTCTTTTCTTCTTTCTTCCTCTCGTGTATCATTCTCCTCAAAGAAGACCACCCTATTTATAATACTAAGATAATGTAACTAAGACATTTAATTCAACATTAATAATCTTAAGTTAAAGATAGTTTCAACTTTAATACAACCAAGTTACAAGTTTTGGAAGTAAAGTTCAAGACACGGTTTCAAAAACAATTCCTCAGTTACAATTTCATTCAATATTATCCAACACTTGGCATCCGTGACGAAGTACGTTCTATGTATGTTTATCCTGGCATCCGTGACGAAGTACATGCTATGCATGTTTATCCTTATGTCCAAAGCACGTAGGAGAGAACTACTCCCTTTTAAATGATCAATATGTTGAAATAAAACAGAACTAATATAGCGTATGGTATGGGATGTATTTCTTTGTTTTTTTGCTTTANTCCACCTGGCTGACGTGGCATGATTAACTAATGATGTGGCATTATAACTTTCGTTAATTTCCTACGTGGTATTTACGTGGCATGATGTGGCACCCTCTTTCCATGTACACTACACCTAGTTAAAAAAAATAAAAAAATTAAAAAATAAAAAAAATATATATTCTATTAAATATGTATTAAAAAACAATAAAAAAATTTCGATTCGTTAATATATATTAAAAAATTATTAAAAAAATATTTCGTTATTATTTCATTAAAAATAAATATATTTGGTTAATATAAATAAAAAATATTAAAAAATAAAAAAAAAAAATTGATATAGTTCGTTAATATATATTAAAAAACTATTAAAAAAAATATTTCGTTAGAGTATCCTCGTCTTCTCTTTATCTAGATGAGAGGTCTCGAATTCGAATTCGGATGTGTAAGGGTGGAGCTCTTTTGTTCGAAACATTGTTCAGCTTGGATGTGTATAATTCACACCACTATTACCCAACCTCAAGCAAAAGGTGAAGTCAAACAACTATCTCCATGGACCATCTAATGAATAGTATGAATGCAAAAATCAATAGCAATGCATCATCTAGATATGATAACTGTCCAATACGTAACTCACAACTAAAGTGATTGTAATTAGGGTTGTAAACGAGCCGAGCTCGAGTTTGAGCCCTTGACGAGTTTATAGTTCAGCTCGAACTCGGCTCGTTTGTCAATATTAACGAGCTAAAATCGAGTCAAACTATAGAAAAATACATAAAAATTATCTCATCGAGCCTTAACGAGCTTTACGAGCCGAGCCAAGTTCACGAGCGACTCGTTTAATTTAAGAGTTCTAACTGCAACAACGGATGTTTTTATTGTGTGCCTCCGATTGGCCTTATCAGCTTCTTCCAGATTCACCTGCAATTATAAAAGCAAATGAGTTCACAAGTTCATGAAAAGAGATAATACACAAAATGACTAAAGTAAGCATAGAAGATCATTCCATATGTATCGGTCAAAATCCTGATCTACAATGCCATTGACTAGCCATGGAATAACAATATTTCCTATCATTATATTGTACAATGGTAATGATATTTCTTAACACTGATTAAATAATTAGCAGATTATATTGCTTCAATGAAACAAATAAGTAATAGTAAATTGAAACGCACCAAACGAGAAAGTGAGAGGACACCACAAAATTTCGGAAACACATGGAATCTCCCGCACCAATATAACAATAAAGAAAACATAAAAATTCAGAGCCATCATCGACCCCTATGAATTTTTTTTAAGAAAAAATAGCTCATATATAGTTACATTGTAAATAGAATATGATAAGTTAATTATTAAGAATATTATTTAGTAAACTATTTTTTTAATCTGAAATTAGAAAAGTATAATTGACTCTTAATTAAAAAATAAAATAAAATAAAATTGCAACTCTATCTTATTACAAAATATAACATTAATCCTTTCACAATTCTATCTTTGAGCCAATTTTTAATTTCTACTCATATGGTGTTGTAGCTATTAATAATCTATATTAACTTTATGTAGCCTCTATTCATATTTAGAAATATGAAAAGATGATTTGATTTTTAGAGCTTTCATAAATTTGATGTAAAGCCAACATAACTAATATTTATAAACTCTTGTTATTCTTTTTGAACTCTTGTTATTGTTTTTGAACTCTTTTTATTGATTTTGATACATATTGAATTTTAGGGTTGTTAAAACTCTAGTTATAAGTTTTAAATTAGCTACTAAATAGTGTTTGACATTGATTTTTAAACTAACATAATTTTTAATTTTTGTGAAGAAATAGTATAAATAGAAGTCCACGAATGTTGACGTTGAAAGCAATCATGACATGGTACCAAAGCAATCAAGGTCGAACAACAACAACTGGCTAAAGGACCATTATACATAGCTAATAAGATTGACAGAAGAAAGAAGATAAAGGGAAGACGATTTTGTCACACGCCACAAAATCTTTCGTCAACCTCGTTATCAGCTTATACGACTTTGCTTAAATGCCAATATTTTGAGGCTGGATTGTGGAGATTTTGCTGAGTTCCTTTAGGTAGAACTTCAACCTTAGTCTTGGCTAACTTCCTTACAGCCTTCAAGCGAAGGGCTTCGTCTAATAGAAGCTCGATTGGAGCCGAGCCTTATTAAGATTCCTTTACTTCGGGTACTATTGTCGAGAAATGCAAACTTTTGACAGATGGAATAATGATAACTTTCGAGAACATAGTAGCTAAATAACCCCAACGTGTTTTACGTAAGGCAAATATTTTATAATTGTTCGATTTTCTGCAATTTTCTTTTTTTTTTTGGTTTCATTTGACCATTACACATAGCTAATAAGATCGCCGCAAATAGCATAGCATACGACACTCGAACAAAGAAAGATGCCGCCAAACCATAGGATTGACGAGCCGAGGTTTATTTTTTCCACGTCACCAAAAGGGAAAACCTGCAGATGCAATGCTTGATCACGGACGCCGATATTCTCCAACTCGTGAGTCTCGCAATCGTAAAGCAACAAATCGCCCTTGAAGTCCTGAATGAGCGCTTTATCATTCTTGTACAGTCCCAGTAACCTAACAAGAACACCATATTCAGCAGGAATGTAGAACTTGCCCACTAGAGACCACTCTTCATTATTCCCCCACACCCAAATCTCGAAACAAGGCATCTTCTTCTCGGACACAAAATCAACAACAACTGCAGCAAGCGACCCGTGAAACTCGGCAAGAACAACATTGTTAACGTTCGCCAGCTGTTGGCTTAGAGGCATAGGGATAAGAGCAGGCCGAAACTCCTCCTCAACAAAGTCGAACTGAATAATACCACTCGTTTGTGTGGTGGAATTATGAGTCAGCCAGTAAAAAATGCCATTTATGTGAAGAGAAAGGTTCTCATAGGGATTGAAGAACCAAAGATCTTCCGGATACGTAATTTCCTTCCACGAATTGGTTCGGAGGGAAAAGACCTCTGACTGGAATCGATGAAAGCCTTCGTACTCGAAGGCGTGAGTTCGGACAACCTTATAGTCCTCGGATGTACGAGGATCAAACCCCACGCCGAAACCAAGAGTGTAAATCATTTTTGGGAAAGGCAGGGGAGGCCAAAGAGGAGAACGAGGAAGGGGTTTCATCTCGTTGGTTTTTGGGTCCCACAGAAGCTCGTACGGAGGTCCAGGCGATTTTAGACATGTCAAAAGCATATATTTGTAGTTGGAACAAGCTCGAATGATGTAATTGGCGTTCCTGGATTTTGTGAAGTAATTTTCAGATTTGAGAATGGATGAGTTGGGAAGACTGTATTGTACCACTTGGAACGAGTTGTTCTCCGTTGAGATTGTGCTGTAGTCGCAGGTTGTTTTGTTTAGTATATATCGAACCATTAGCATGAGATTTTTGTTGTTGTTGTTGTCGTGATGTTTCGAATTGGGGGAAAGCGCCGGCGCCGGAAAAGGATGGAAAATAGTAGCGCTGAAATTTGCGGGGAGACATTTTAACTTGGATTTGGCGTTAGCGAGTAGATTGAAGGTGGTTGAGAGGATTCTCATGGTTCTGTATGCGTAAGAAGAAAGAGTAGCCGCAGAGTAACTGGTTGAAAGCCCTAGTTCCCATACAGACTCTTATCTCCTAATTACAAATTCTCGTATTTTAACACCGATTCCAATGGCTAATGGACACAACTACCTAATATTTAGGAAAAGAAAAATCAAGAAAATAATGGGTCACTCAAATTTATTAGATTTAATCCAAACTCGTGTAAAACTGTTACAAATTGAAAAAGAAAATTGCTATCATATTTTAAAAACATAAATTGCTATCAAAAGAAAACTTGTCAACCGCAAACTCAATAAGGCTCGGCTCCGCTCGAGCTCGTCAACAGTATGGTTCGGTGGCATCTTTCTTTATTCGAGTGTCGTATGCTATGTCATATATGTCGATCTTATTAGCTATGTGTAATGCTCAAAGGAAACTTAATAAATAAGGCTTGGCTCCACTCGAGCTTCTATTAGACGAAGCCCTTCGCTCCAAGGCTGTAAGGAAGTTAGCCAAGACTAAGGTTGAAGTCCTACCTAAAGGCACTTTAATCCTCTCCCGTTAGTCGAGCTACCAAAAGGGACGCTATCTTTGAACAGAAGCAGCAAAATCTCCCGCTTAATCTAGATGTGAGGTCTCGAATTCGAATTCGAATGTGTAAGGATGGAGCTTTTTTGTTCGAAATGTTTGTTCAGCTTGTATGTGTATAATTCACACCACAAATACACAACATAAAGCAAAAGGTGAAGTCAAACAACTATCTCCATCAAATGAATAGTATGAATGCAAAAATCAATAGCAATGAATCATCTATATAGATAATTGTTCCATAAGTAACTCACAACTAAAGCGATTGCACTTAGGGGGTATAAACGAGCCGAGTCGAACTCGAGTTCGACCCCGTAATGACTTTATAGTTGAGCTCGAGCTCGACTCGTTTATCAATATTAACAAGCCATGACGAGCCAAACTACAGAAAATTACATAAAAACAACTTTTCTAACCTTTCAAGCTTTATCGAGCCGAGCTGAGCTTGAGCCTCAACGAGCAAAGCCAAGCTCAGTTGAGTTCGCGAGCGACTCGTTCAATTTAACAGTTCTAATGTTATTAGATGTTTTTATTGTGTGCCTCCGGTTGGCCTTATCAACTTCTTCCAGATTCACCAACAATTATAAAAAACAATTGAGTTCACAAGTTCATGAATAGATAATACAAAACACTAACTCAATACTTGTAGACATTACATTTGGGTGAAAGTAAGCATAGAAGATCATTCCATATGCATCGGTCAAGTCCTGATCGACATTAATGCCATTGAGTAACCATGGAATCGTGGAATATCCGGTTTTGCGGTGTCAGTGTATCCTATCATTATATTGTACAACCATGATGATTTAAGTTTGTCAACAGCAATTAAATAATTAGCACTATAGCAGATAATATTGCTTCAATGAAACAAATAAGTAATAACTACAGACAAAGAAAAACACACGAGTTCTTCCTCTTCAATATTATTTACACAGAAAATTCGAGATATTCACATACAGTGACGTTGATCAAATTTCACATATCAACATAGAGCTTTCATAAATTTGATATAAAGTCAACATAACTAAGATTTCTAAACTCTTGTTATTGTTTTCAAACTCTTGTTATTGATTTTGATACATAGTTCTTAAAATTATAGTTATATTTTTAAATTAGCTACTAAATTGTGTTTGTCATTGATTTTTTAACTAACATGATTTCTATTTTTTATGAAGAAATATTATAAATAGAAGTCCATAAATGCTGACATTGAAAGCAATCAAGACACGTTACCAAAAGCAGTCAAGGTCGAACAACAGGCTAAAGGACCATTACACATAGCTAATAAGACTGAATGAAGAAAGAAGATACAAAGGAAGACGATTTGGCAACTCTTCTTGGAAGAATAGGAACAAGAACCTTCAGAAAATTGGACGAATATGGCAACTCCATTCAAGAGGG